TGGGTTAAAGGTGTGTGCCACCATACCTGGCTCAGTTTCCAGTGTGGCCCTGAAATCACAGAGATCCAGATGGATCTCTGCCTCTGGAATGCTAGGATTCAAGGCGTGTGCTACCACTGCCTAACCGCTATGTTTAACATTGTGGCTGTTCTGTTCTCTGACCCCCAGATAAGTCTATTGGGGTGCATAATATATCAACCACATTTCCCTTTTTTTTGTTTAAAATAAAAGTTATAGCTAATGTAAGAAAAAGTATATACAATAAGTATATACAATATGTACAGTCAAGAATTACATTAACAATGTCTAGTCCATTAACATTTGACAAATTCAGACAAAAAATTTCATTACTTACCCTATTTTGGTGAGTACAAAATTTGTATGCAATATACAAAAGTCCAATCCAATGTAAAATTTTTAAAACAAGTAATTCCTTTTTAAAAGTAGATTCAATAATTTACCTTTTTATCTTATCAGATGATGTTTCAGTTCTGAACATCTATGCCCCAAATGTCAAGGGTACCCACATTACTAAAGCTTAAGTTACATATTGAATTTTACACATTAATTTTTGAAGACATCAATACCCAACTCTCATCAATGGACAGGTCATACAGACAAAAGAAATAATGGAGCTAACAGATGTTATGTCTCAAATGGACCTAACAGACATCTAAAAACATTTCACCCAAACAAAAGAATATACCTTCTTCTCAGCACCTCATGGAACCTTCTCCAAAACTGACTATACACTTGGTCACAAAGCAAGTCCCAACAGATACAAGGTAATTGCAATAACCTCCTGTATCTTATCAGATCACCATGGATTAAAGCTGGATTTCAACAACAGAAACAACAAAAAGCCTACAAACTCATTGAAACTGAGCACTTCTCTACTGAATCACCACTGGGTCAAAGAATAAATAAATTAAAAGAAATAAATTAAAGACTTCCTAAAATTCAATGAAAATGAATGCGTATCATACCCAAATTTATGGGACCCAAAGCAGTGCTAAGAAGAAAATTCATAGCACTAAACGCCTTCATGAAGAAATTACAGAGATCTCATACTAGCAACTTAACAACACACCTGAAAGCTCTAGAATAAAAAGAAGCAAACACCCCAAGAGGAGTAGATGGCAGGAAATAATTAAACTCAGGACTGAAATAAATAAAAGAGAAACAAAGGGAACAATACGAAGAATGAATAAAACAAAGAGTTGGTACTTTGAGAAAATCAACAACATAGACAAACCCTTATCCAAACTAACCAAAAGGCAGAGAGAAAATATCCAAATTAACAAAATCAGAAAGTAAAAGGACATAACAGACACCAAGGAAATACAGAGAATAATTAGGTCATACTTCAAACACCTGAATTCCACAAAATTGGAAAATATAAAAGAAAGAGTTATCACCTACCAAAGTTAAATCAGGATCAGATAATTTAAATAGATCTATCGCCCCTAGTGAAATAGAAGCAGTCATTAAAAGTCTCTCAGCCAGAAAAAGCAGGGCCAGATGGTTTTTTAGTGCAGAATTCTACCAAATCCTTCAAGGAAGAGCTAATATCAATACTCCTCAAATTATTCCAGAAAATAGAAACAGAAGGAACATTGCCAAATTCATTTCATGAGGCCACACTCATCCTGATACCCAAAGACTCACCAAAGAAAATTACAGACCAAGTTCCCTCATGAACATTGATGCAAAAATACTTGAAAAATACTCACAAACCAAATTCAAGAACACATCAAAAAGATCATCCACCATGATCAAGTAAGTGTCATCCCAGAGATGCAGGGATGGTTCAACATATGAAAATCTGTCAATTTAATCCATCATATAAACAAACTGAAAGAAAAACCACATGACCATCTCATTAAATGCTGAAAAAGCCTTTGACAAAATATAACACCTCTTCATAATAAAAGTTTTGGAGAGATCAGAGATACAAGGGACATACTTAAATATAATAAAAGCAATATAAAACAAGCTGACAGCAAACATCAAATTAAATGGAGATAAACTCAAAGCAAAATCAGGAAGAAGACAAGGCTATCCACTTTCTTCAAACCTATTCAATATAGTACTTAAAGTTCTAGCTAGAGCAATAAGACAACTAAAGGAGATCAAGGGGATACAAATTGGAAAGGAAGAAGTCAAACTTCTGCTATTTGCAGATGATATGATAGTATACATAAGTGACCACAAAAATTCTCCCTGGGAACTCCTATAGCTGATAAACACCTTCATGGAAGTGGCTGGATACAAAATTAACTTAAAAGAAAAAATCAGTATACAATATACAAACAATAAACAAGCTGAGAACGAAATCAGGGAAAGAACACCCTTCACAGTAGCCACAAATAATATAAAATAACTTGGTGTAACTCTAATCAAGCAAGTGAAAGACCTGAGTAACAAGAACTTCAAGTCTTTGAAGAAAGATATTGGAGAAATATCAGAAGATGGGAAGATCTCCGATGCTCACGTATCAGTAGGATTAACATAGTAAAAATGGCAATCTTAAAAAAGCAATCTACAGATTCAATGCAATCCCCATCAGAATACAACACAATTCTTTACAGACCTTGAAAGAACAATACTCAATTTCACGTAGAAAAATAAAAAACCCAGGATAGCTAAAACAATCCTGTATAATAAAAGAACTTCTGGATGTCTCACCATCCCTGATTTTAAGCTGTACTACAGAGCAATAGAATAAAAACCAAGTAGTATTGACATAAAAACAGAAAGGTTGATCAATGGAGTCGAATCAAAGACCCAGACATATATTCACATACCTATGGACACCTGATTTTTGATAAGTATCCAGAAATATAAAACGAAAGCATCTTGAGCAAATGGTACTGGCCTAACCGGATATCTGCATGTAGAAGAATCAAACAGACCCATTTATCACCCCCCACAAAATTCAAGTCCAAGTCGACCAAAGACCTCAATATAAAGCCAGATACACTAAACTTGATAGAAGAGAAAGTAGAGAATAGCCTTGAACACAGTGGCACAGGAGACAATTGCCAGAACAGAACACCAACAGTGTAGACACTAAGAGTGACAATAACTGGGACCTCACGAAACTGAAAAGCTTCTGTAAGGCAAAGGACACCGTCTAATGGACAAAACGGCAGCCTACAGAATGGGAAAAGATCTTTAGCAATCCCACATCTAACAGAGGGCTGATATCCAAAATATATAAAATCTCAAGAAACTAGATATGACCAAACCAAATAATCCAATTAAAAAATGGGGTACAGATTTAAATAGAATTTTCAAAAGAGGAATCTCAAATGGCCAACAAAGACTTAAAGAAATGTTCAACATCTTTAGCCATCAGGGAAATGCAAATTAAAACTACTTTGAGATTCCATCTTAGACTTGTCAGAATGGCTAATGCTATGGGATGGTCTGTATGTCAAATTGCTCTGATTGGTCAATAAATAAAACACTGATTGGCCAGTGGCCAGGCAGGAAGTAGGTGGGACAAGGAGAGAGGAGAATTGTGGGAAGCAGAAGGCTGAGGCGGAGAGACACTGCAGCCGCCGCCATGACCAGCAGCATGTGAAGACGCCGGTAAGCCACCAGCCACATGGCAGGGTATAGATTTATGGAAATGGATTAATTTAAGATATAAGAACAGTTAGCAAGAAGCCTGCCACGGCCATACAGTTTGTAAGCAATATAAGTCTCTGTGTTTACTTGGTTGGGTCTGAGCGGCTGTGGGACTGGCAGGTGACAAAGATTTGTCCTGACTGTGGGCAAGGCAGGAAAACTCCAGCTACAGCTAAGATCATTAACTCAAGTGATAGCTCATGCTGGCGAGGATGTGGAGCAAGGGAAACACTCCTCCATTGCTGGTGGGAGTGCAAACTTGTGATATATTGTGTCCCCCAATATACTGTGCACTCTAATAAAGTTTATCTGAGGATCAGTGGAAAAAACCAGCCACTATATTAAACATAGAAGTCAGGCAATGGTAGCATACGCCTTTAATCCTAGCATTAGGGAGGCAGAAATCCATCTGGATCTCTGTGAGTTCAAGGCCACACTGGGGAACAAAGCCAGGCATGGTAACACATGCCTTTAATCCCAGCACTAACCATAGAGGTCTGGAGGTTTGTACAAACAGACAGGAAGTGATGTAGTTTGCCGGAGAGAGAAAGTGAGATGCAGAACAGAAAGGCATATAGGTGTGGGAATACAGGAAGTAGCTCTCTTTGGTTGAGGATTTCTAAGTGGTAAGAATGTGGTTGGTTTCTTTCTGTTTTTCTAATCTCTCAGTTTTTCACCCCAATATCTGGCTCTGGGTTTTTTTTAGTAATAAGACTGTTTAACAATTTGTCTTACACAAACTTGTACAGCCACTTTAGAAATCAATATGGCGGTTTCTCAGAGAACTGGGAATTGATCTACCTCAAGACCCGGCTACACTACTCTTGGGCATATAACCCAAAGGTCATTCCACCATACCACAAGGACTGAACTGACAACCAGGGAGCCTGCATGGGACTGACCTAGGCCTCCTGCATATATGTTACAGTTGTGTACCTTGAACTTCAGACTCCTCTAACAGTGGAAGCAGGGGCTGTCTCTGACTCTATTGCCTGTTTTGGGTACTCTTTCCTCCTACCTGGTTGCCTGGTCTAGTCTAATAGGAGAGAATGTGCCTAGTCTCACTGCAACTTGATATGCCATGGCTGGTTGCTATCCATGGGAGGCTTGCCCTTTTCTGAAGAGAAAAGGAGGAGTGGATGGGGGTCGGGAGGGTGACTAGGAGGAGAGGAGGGAGGAGAAATTGCAGTCAGGATGTAAAAAAAAAAGTAATTAATTAAAAAAAAAGATTATAGCTCCTATAATATGTCATTGTATTCATAATAACACTTGATATATTTTGGTCTATAATTTTTTTTTTTAACTTAAGGACTCTGGGCTAACTTTAAGTAACATTAGAAAAAATTCTGTATTAAGTTAAGTACCTTTATGTCCTTCATTTTCTGCTTTTCAAAATTGTCAATAGTTTCCTCCAAATGACGACTTGTTCGGGTGGCATCAATCGTGGCTCTCTGTAATTCAGTTTCTGCCTAAAAGGGAATCCCCCAACAAAAGGAAAGATTCCAATCAGAATCCATGTCATTGAATCTTTTGGCAAAAGGTACCATTTCAGTGTTGGCTTTTTCTGGCATAAAGTATAAACAGATCAAATTTACCTTTTACCACATACAATGAAAGAACTATATTAAATGATATATGCACTAGAGAACTTTAAGTTTGCTAAATGACATTCGGTCTCAAAACAAAAATCCCGTCTTGAAAGCTGGTTTCTCTGGTGCCCTGGGGATCACCGTTTTCTACTACTCCCCTCCAGTCCAGTCTGTGCCACTTATCAGCCTCTCCTTCATTTAATCCTCGCTCCTTCACCCCTCACCCCCAGAGACAAGACTTGGCTTTGGTTGGTATTTTCAATGCTTTCATATTGTATCTGTAAAATAACGATGATCGCACAAGACTATTTTATATATTAAATGAACTAAATAAATCTTTGTGAAGGACTAAGAGCACACAGTAAAAAGACCTATAGCTATAACAATTTCCACTACACAGAATCAAATTTTTTATCACAATATACAAGTGCTTGAGGCTAGTGACACTCAAGTATCTTATCACTATTTACTTGTAAGAGTTCCCCAAATGCATTAGATACATAATTTTTGTGACAGAGTCTCCCTATATAGCCTGGGCTATCCTAGGATTCTCTAAGCAGGCTGATCATGAACTCACATTCTTCTGTGTCTGCCTCTTCACTGCGGTGATTACAGGTATATGTCACCATTATCTATATCTGTATCTATATCTATATAGTTTTGGAATATATATAACATGGTCTATGCTGGCTGTAAGCTTATTAACTGGTGGAAGATAACTTTGAACTTCTGATCCTACTTCTACCTTCCAAGTAATGGGATTACAGGCATGTACTATCAAGCTAAGCTCAATCAGATCAATCAGATTCTTACAAGCTAACAAAAGTGCATTGTTTTGGTTTGGCTTATGGATAAATACATATATCAAGTTTTAATGTGTTGCTTTATACATGGTGACATACACCCCAGACTGTCAAGATCCATGTTGTAAAACCAGTTATCATGGTTACTATCTAAATATTGCTATTTACTTGTGAATTGCAGCTACAGAGATTTTCAAAAAATTGTTTCCTAAGTTACCCTAGTTGCATATCAAGAATTCAGGTACACACTGCAGCAATATATACTGTTAAGTGCAGAAAATTCCAATTTAATCATGTTATTTCTCTTTAAGCATCTCTTCCTTTAGGACAATAGTTGCCTCCACACATTAAATGTTAAGCAGTACCAACAATTAAAAAGATATACCTCAATTTTAAGATTAAATTATTCATAATAAAGTTTTGTGCATTATACTAAAATTATATTTTCTCTAAAGTGAACTGTATAAAAATTGGCATTTGTCATCAAAGTTTTGAGATGTAATATTCTGACATTTAGCTATTGCTTTCTTTTAAAAGAATCTGTAAATTAAAACAAGTAAAAGGCTTTACTCTCAGGATCCATTTCTCGACACACCATTTTATTGCCCACCTGCGACTGAAAATTTTCATAAAGGAAAAAATACATTTCAAAGAGAATCGAACATTTGTAAATATACTTATATACCTTTATAGTACTGCTCTTACAATTAGTGTAAGTATACAACTTTAAGATACTACGCATTTAAAGGTATATCAACTTTTATCTGAATTTGTTTATATTTACCATATAAAGCATAGTTTTTAAAAGCAAAGACTTTCAACTTAACCCTAACTAGTATTAAAAACTATAAAAGCTATTTAATTTTTTTTCTGTACACTTCTGGGCTTCTTTTAAAAACAGAAAGTTCAAATGTAGAGCCCCTTTGGAGAGCTGTTCTGAAAACAGTTGCTGTCAGTTACTTGATGTCTGATCATTCTTTTCCGAGACGATTCAAGATGACTCCTAATGATTATTATATTATATAGATAGGCAGTTTTTTGACTTTTATTGTGTGATCTTGTCTTTGCCTTTCTCATTTCCTGATATTTAAGTTTAAAAATTGGGAAGGAATCTCTGTAGACTGTCTAAAGGAAAGCATGGGGAAGTAGAAGCCACAGCTGGGTCTTTATATTCCAGCTTCTAGGAATTTCAATCCATTTCTAAAGTCTGAAATCCTCTTCCTGAGCACAGAACTCAACCAGAGTCATTCTTTAGCAAAGAAAAATGTACATTTGTGATAATTATTATATTCACTGAAAATTGCTGAGAATTCTACAATGAACCAATCTTGCGTATGTTAAGGTACAGTTCCATGAACAGTTATCAGTATAGCCAGTAGAGTTGGTCAAAACTTTCAGACTGTCACAGACTGTTCAGAAGTCATCTGGTGCCTCAGGGTGGAGAGGTGGATCTTAGGATTATAGTCACCAAAAGAAGGGACTCCATTCTGTTTCCATATTGAACTTCAGCATACTTCTGAGTAAATAGCTCAGTTGTAAGGGTCTACCCTGTAAAAATACTATAATGCTCTTCACCTTATATTTTTATTTTTACATTGAATATCTTTACATGCACACTGTCATTTAGGTTCTGGTTTCAGGTTGTCAGAATCCTTCTGCAGATCTATTTAGAGAGCAGAACAATTCACCTGTAACTCACTTAGGTTGCTTTCCCCATCTTTTTTTAGGTGTGCCATAAGGACACCTCCTTCCTCCACAGCAGCGCTGATACAGCACGTACAGGTCAGCAAAGTTAGACTTAGCAGCATATCCACTTCTGTGCTAAAGATCGTATGAACGCTTATGAGTCAATCAACAGCTATGCAGGATTTCAGGTATTATTTCTACCTGCCTTCAGAGCTCTTTTCCCTAAGAACAAAACAAATGTTGCTTCCTGACTTAATTCTCAAACACCGGTGATTCCCTAACCTCTGGCAGAGTGGTCGGGCGTGGATTTGTAGCAGTCTCAGGTTTGTCCAGCTTGTTTCAAACAGACTCTAATTGGAAATCTTAAGCTGCAATAAATGTCCAACAAATGTTCTGCACCAGCCCAACTGAACTGCCCCTCTGCTTTTTCTTGTTTAAAGCAGAAGGTTGTCCAGAGGAAGACGGGCCAGACAACCAGTAGAGCCCCAGATCACTGCGTGGGGGACTGCCTTCAGCAATACAGGTGTTCTCCAACCCCCAGTGCCCACAGAGCCACTCCTTAAGTGGAGTCTGGCTGGGCTGGCAGTATCAACCTTGAGTAGGAAGGAGACACAGGTAAGGTAGAATGGGGAGGGGCCACAGGGAGATGTTAGTGCTAGCACTGTATGTTTCTGTTGTTCAGGGAGTAATTTGTTTTCTAGAAGCTCCCTTTTACAGCAAACACTCCTATTTAGATACTATAGTGTCTTGCTATGACCGTAACTATACTCAAATCTCCCAAAGGTTTGACTGAAAGTTATAGCTATGGTTTCATGTATTTTTTTTTTTTTTAATTTGATGAAGGCCATTGTGGGAATTTTTCCTCCTTCCTTAGAAGTACAGCAGATAGGGCATTGAGACATTAGCATTTACTTTTTAATTTACTCTGAAAACATCTACATTTCTGAGTGGATTTGGGCATAGTCTATCTGAAAAATGAGAAGGATTGGATCAGGAAGAATAACTACTTTACATCTGGCTACTTTTTATTGTAAGGGTTCCTAAGTGGGTTTCTTTTTTGCCACTGACAGGAGAATTCTCCACACACTTAGAACTAGAGATATATAATTTCCATATACATTTACTTTTGTACTGCATACCTTATAAAACTATTTTTTTTTTTTAACATCAAAATCCAAAGGATACAATCACATGTCGATCGGATGGGTTTCGTTGGCGAGTCCTTTCTAACTGAGATAACTGTTTGGCTTCTCGATTTCTTGCTGTTAATGTTGCTTTGAGATCATCCTGAAAATAAGCATTTTTGTTAATAAAACTTTCTAACTTAAAAAATAAAACACTCTATGTTAAAAATGAAAGAATGCTTCTTGTTTGATCTAGGCACTGTGAGTACAGGAGTTATGAGTACTGTACAATGTGTGTGTGTATGCACACGAGAGCATGTATTTCATTGATATTTTCTCAAAATAAGATACAATATAAGTAGAAAATGAACCACACAAATTCATGACTACAAATAATTTTGGTTGTGGTGATGCTTAAAAGAGCACATGTATTCATGAAATCCAAACATTGAAAAAATAAGTATTTTATTGTGTGTAAATTTTACTCCAATTTGATTTTAAAAACAGTTTGTCAGATTTTAAAAATACAAGTCACCTGCTTTAAAACAAAAATATATAAATTCATTACATATTTTAAAAATTTTCCATAATAATGATTTTTACTGCTAGAGTAGAATATTAGTATACTTAGCAAATTTGGTAAATATGCTTTATTATTTTTAAAGATTCAAATTTTTTTCAAAGTATGTAAAAACAATAGCTCATGTTATTTTTGTATTTGTTATGAAAAAGAAAAAAAAAACCATACCTTGTCATACTACCAAATGGATTAAAAAATGGATTTACTTACCCGTTTCATTTTTACAATGGTTCCATAAGCTTTCAACGGTTCAACTACTTTGGCTTCAAGCCTTTCAACCTATTGAAAATTATATAAAATATAACTGAAAAGAAACATAGAAATATCAAAATTTAAATACTGAAATAAAATCTATCCTGTTTAATCTGAAATAAATACTATAGACATTAATACTTTTGGAATTTTAAGTTAAGATGATACTCTATGACAACTTTATAAAAGGATAATCATCTGGATATTACTAATATTCATTAAAAACGTAAACCATACAGCAACAGCCGCAGCCTGACAGGAATGTGCCTGGCACTTCTAAATGCTCATCCTTGAACAAGCATAGCATTCACCTTACAGCTGTAGTTCCCAGGAAGTTTGAAGACATCTATAGTTTTAGGACAGTTACCATTTTCATGTGTTTAAGTAGATATTGTCAGGAATTACAGATATTGTCTCCTAATTCCTATAACCCAATTTTTCAGAAAAACTGAATCTGAAAGATACAGTGTTACTAAGAACATTTAAGGAAACACAACTCTCAAAAGCAAACAGCTTGGGGATTATTGTATTAGCTGCATTTCTTTAGACAGACATTTATAAGTTATAGGAGCCTAGAGAACAAGGTAAGTGAGCTTGGTGTTACTCATCGGCCAAACTGTACACCTGGTCTTTTTATCTAGAATTAAACACTTTCTCATATTCATTTACATTTTTATCAAAAATAATAGCAATTCTCTTACTAGCACTAGTAAAAGGAATGGGAGAAGGATCTTTTCTACAAATACATATACAAGAAAATTATGGGGCACTGAAACTTTGTCAGGGTGGGTAATCAGATTACAGCTACTGCTTAAAACAAACATTTTTTACAGCAAATAAAATGCTTTTTAAAAGGATACATTTTTACCTAATCAATGCATTTTCATTTCATACCTAATCAATGAAATTTTGTTTCATATGTATTCTTTAGTTTCTGGAAATGGATGTTTCATTTTAAAAGATTTTAGGAAAATGTAAAAAGTAGATTCTCATTAACATTTAAATATTCAGAATTCTGAAATCAGAGTTACGAATATTCAGGACAGTTTAATGTATCCCATTTCTGATAACACACACTATGTGGATTAGCCAAAGCTGTCCTAACAGCTTCTGTTTCTTTCCCTTGCCTACCTTTGTCCTGTTCATTAGCACCTCCATCATTTGGTAAGCAGGAAACAGAGCACAGCAAATGCAAATCAATTCACTTTGCTATTTGATAAGTAGCATAAAAAATTTCTAGAAAGGGAAATTATTGGTGAAATAGGACTTTAGGATTATCTGTGACTAAAAACTACTTTTGAAACATTGAATCACCAATTACCATGTATAACTGAGCATTGCTTGTTATAGAAGAAATGTATGCCAAGAACTCAACATTTTCCTTACAGTATCCTGGAGTGATTAGTACTCAAAAAGGAATAATGATGATAAGTTCAAAATTTTTTGGTAACTGAAATTTGTTTTAGGCTTTAAACATGAAAAAGAACAATGACACTTGTTACAAAAGTAAAAAAGCAATGGAGTTTAAACTTGGCGACGTTTGTGAGTAAACTAGTATTTAAAAGAAGTATGTGAAAGGGCTTACGAGGTATCAAAGTAAGAAGACTGGGGTTTTGCTGTTGTTGTTTTAAGAAAGAGCCCACAAGAGCAAGGCTCTGGTCGGTCCCTCAAACCAACCACACAGCCAACTCTCAGATGTATCCCTTGGTTTTGCTTCTGTGTTATAAACCACAGCTTTCCGATTGGTCAACTTTCAAATCATGAGAATATCAGCAACATGTTGCCCATTTACAGCATTCTCGTCTCTTGGCATTCTATAAAACGCACTTGATGCACACGGGACACACATGCGATTTCCTTCCCTATGAGCGCTATATTTGCCACCTTTTCTGAACCTGTAACCAAAATTGGCAAATGAATAGGGAAATTCAAGACTTCAAACACACCTTAGGTTTAGTTCGAAAGCTGTCAGGTCATAGAAAGATTCCCTATAGTGGACTCACGTGGTCCACAGGAAATGCATTATCAAGTGTGCATTCGCCTCTGTTAAGATACGTTACAATGAAAACGTCTCCAGAATTCCTTTACATTACTTCTTGGACTTATAATAATGACACCATGACCGCACTTCATACCTCTGCTTGGCGGTAATCTTGAAGTTTGGCAAACTCATCGGCAAAGTTTTTCAGACCCTGCTTTAAATTTGGGGTCTCGGTAGAGGCATACACGTTGATTTCATTAACCAGGAGGTCGGCTTTGTCTCGCAGCCTGGCCGTTTTCCGTACATAAGCAGCAAAGATTTGGCAAAGCTCTCCAAAATGCTTCTCCACATTTGTGACAGCATCCTGCAGTTGTTTTGTTTGAGCATCTCTAGAAAAAGGAGACACTGTTCTTAAAACATTAAGATGGTGCCCCGTCAATTTTATATGCAAACACCCGGAGGCCCAACCTTCCCAACTCTCCCGGAGGCCCGCCCTTCTCTAGAACCCGACTCAGTTCTTGGACAGTGCAGGCCCGGGGTTAGGCCCCGGCCATGCCCGCCGTGAAGGGGAGGCAGAGGCGAGCCGTGGCCCGGGCACCAGCGGCCTCCCGGGCTCTGTACCTCGGCGGGGCCGGGCCAAGCTCAGGAGGATGGGTCGGCCGGGAGACTCTCTCGGCCCGGTACTCGCTGCAGCCCGGAGGAGGACGGGCTGCAGAGCGCCGCGGGGACCCTGCGGCCTCCTCACGCCCCGGCCGGCTTCCGATCCCTGGGCCCGGCTCCCCTCGCCCACCCGGCCCTCTCCCTTGGGCGGCCTGGAGGACGAGGCCCCGGGCGGTTACCGGTCTTCCAGGTTGCGCCTCCACATCTTGCCTTGCGCGCCGCCGGGGACCCGGGGTGGGAGCCCAACGAGCGCGGCTCCGGGGCGCCAGGGCGCGCGGGAGCCGGAGCCGCCGCCACTTCTACCGAGAGGCGAGAGCGCGCTGTGCGCGCCGCCGCGCCTGGCCGGCGTTTCCGTGGCAACGCGGCGGGCGCCCCTGCGGTCAAGGGCAGGGCAAGGGAGACCAGAGGGCATTGGGCAGAGGGACCACCAAGCATCCTCCTTCGGTGCTGCTCTGGAGCCCTCCCGGCCCCTGGAAGTACAGGGGAAAAGAACCCACCAGTAACCGGAAGGGGGACGTGAAAGTAAAGGTGAATGGGGTCCGGGCTCTGCTTCTGGATGTGAGGACTTAATGCCATGCTTGTCCCCCTGCTTCTCTGCTGAACGCGACAGTGTGGGCTCTTGGAAGCTGCCTTTGTGAAAGAGCAGCTTTATTAGTTAGATTTCTATTGCTGTGATAAGACCATGACGGAAAACAAGTTGAGAAGGAAAGGGTTTCTTTGGCTGACATATTCCAAGCCACAGCTCATTGAGGAATTCAGGGCCTGAACCTGGAGGCAGGGACTGAAGCAGAGGCCATGGAGGAACACTGCTTGCTGGCTTCTCCACTTGACTTTCTTATATACCCCAGGATGACCTGCGAAGAGGTGGCACTGTCCACAAGGGCTGCGCCCTTCCACATCAACCATCAATCAAGAAAACCGCCTTACAAGTTTGCCTACAGGCCAATCTAATGGAGGCATTTTCTGAATAACTCTAGCTTGTGTCAAAAACACAAAACAAAACAAACAAAAAAGCCAAATGGAATCTAAGTAGCACACTAGTGCTTACTGCCTCATCTTAATTAATTTCCCCCTTGCAGTTTCTACTTTATGAGAAAGATTATGTTAGGGCTGCTCCCGTGCTTGACTAGTATACTCCTGAGTTTGTGTCCTCTCCTTGAAGCAGGGGAAATGTAATTTTTTTGCCTTGTACTCATCAGTGCCTTCTACAACTCTGTGAAGGGTTATTTTGCACAAATGGATGTCCTATTCTTGTATAACTTATGCTTTAAATTCCCCTAGAGTGAGAAATCCATGGAGTCTGCATAAAGGGCAACACATTTATTAGTGATAAAAGTCATCACAGCATGGGAGAGTTATCGTGGGGTCCTGGAAAGCCGAGCTATGATCCATGTTGTTCTTCCGCCTGGTCCATCTCAGCATCCGAAAACCACAAGGAGAGAGAGCGATGCCTACTGCATCCCAGGTCTTAAGGGTCCAGGAGGCCATGCCCCTGGGACATGTATTTCAAGATCCTAGGCAGGTGGAGCAGTTACCTACTGCCTCTCCGGGGCGGTGCTTCAAGGTCATAGACAGAACAGCTACCCCCTGCATCCCTCTATTCTTTCATATTGTAACTTGTGTTTCAGAGCCTCTTGTTACTACTTCTGTTTTAGTGACCCCTGCTCTCTCATGTTGCACATGCCTCCTTTCTCCTTTGTACTTATGCAGAAGCCAGCTGCCCAGTGCCCATAGTCTCAGAATAGAGCTCTAACCAAAGGTTAGAAGAGTCTTTGCTCGGATAGAGCTCACAGCCTTGGGGGACAGATAAAGCTAGCCAAATGTCTTAGGATTTCCATTGCTGTGGAGAGACACCATGACCACAACAACTCTCATAAACAAAACATTTAATGGGGTGGCTGACAGTTTCAGAGGTTTAGTTCATTATCATCATGGTGGGACATGGCAGAATGCAGGCAGGCATGGTACTAGAGCTGAGAGTCCTACATCTTGATCTGCAGGCAACAGGAAGTGAACTGAGACACTGGGAGTGGCTTGAGCATATATGAGACCTCAAAGCCCACCTCCACAGTGACACACTTCTTCCAACAAGGCCACACCTACTTCAACAAAGCCATGCCTCCTAATAGTGCCACCCCCTGTGAGCTTATGAGGGCCAATTACATTCAAACCACCACACCAAACCATCAAACACACAAAAATGCAACCCGGAAATGTGCTACTGTGCCAGCTTTAGTTGCATAACAAGTTATAAAACTGAGTGGCTTACAAAAACGTATTAGATGGTTCAGGAATGGGATGGATAGTAGTTCTTTGGTTCTGTTCAGCTGGACTCTTTCCTACCTTTCTCTCCAGGTGGTGAGTCTGCTAGTAGTGTGTAATCTCATTAAATGCTGTGGTTTGGATGTGGTTTGAGTGTGCCCTCCAGTAGCACATGATGTGAAGGCTTGGTTTGCTCCTTAATGTGTGGTGAGAGATGTAGACATTTGAGATGAGGAGCCTAGGGGGATAATGTTGGGCCATGGAGACTACCACTCTTGGAAGGGATTAAAGTGGTTTTTTTGGTCCATTATTATTAGTTATTGTTAATTTTTTTTTGTTATTGTTGTTTTGTTTTTTCTTTTTTACTCTTTGGTTCTTTGCTCCTTGGGGGGCCCACCATCCAGCTCCCAAATAAATACATGGAGGTTTATTCATTCTTATGAATGCCTGGCTTTAGCTTGGCTTGTTTCTAGCCAACTTCTCTTAACTTAAATTGTCCATCTACCTTTTGCCTCTGGGCTTTTATCTTTCTCTATTCTGTATAACTTTCTTTACTTCTTACTCTGTGGCTTGCTGTGTAGCTGGCTCCTGGTGTTCTCCTCCTTCTCTTGTTTCTTGATCCTCTCTTCCCAGATTTCTCCTTCTATTTATTCTCTCTGCCTGCCAGCCCTGCCTATCCTTTATCCTGCCTAGCTATTGGCTGTTCATCTATTAGACCAATCAGGTGTTTCAGGCAGGCAAAGCAACATAGCTTCACAGAGTTAAACAAATGCAACATAAAATAATAAATACATTTTTGTATCATTAAACAAATATTCCACAGCATAAATAAATGTAACACATCATAAAATAATATTCCATAACATTTGGTTGTCTGGAGAGGGTTGTGAAACAGAGTCTGGCCCCATCTGGATGTGATCTTTTCCATCCACACATGCGGCTGCCATTATGACCAAATCTGCTAAGTGGAGTCTTTTAGAGCAGAACCACTAACACCACGCCCTTGAATATCCGGAATTGTGAACCAAATAAACCTTTATTTGTGTACATTTGCCAGCCTCAGGTATTTTTTTAAACAAGGCTGATTTATTTATTTATTGTGTTTATGTGTATGCATGTGTCTCTCTTGAGTTTATATGCACCGTGTGTGTGCAGGAAGGTCAGAGAGGGCATGGGTTTCCTTGGAACCAGAGTTTCAGGCTACTGGGAGCCACCATGTAAATTCTGGGATTGAAATCAAATCCTCTGTAAGAGCATTGCTCCAGCCCCGTAGCCTCAGGTATTTTACAACAGCAAAGTAGACAAATGCAGGTGGTCTAACTAGCATGTCATGCTGCAGGAGCCTGTCAGCAGAGGCATCATGGTTTTTATTTTCCAGCAGGTTAGCCTCTTTCTAAAGCAACAAGCAATGTAGTAGTATTTGCTCCACCCGTCATCTTGGGCTATCCAGCCCGGTAGAGGCGGTGCTTCTTGCTGGCATAGGTGACTTCTTGACTTCTTGCCTGCACATGTCCTCCTGAAAGGAAAGAAGGAGGGGCCACACTGCCCTTGGTGTGATCAGACACAGGGCGCACATTCACTCCCGGGCAGAACAGAGGACGATTTCAGCTGTTTACTCAGTTCTGTATTTGTGAGTGCATTTCCCCAATTTATGTCTTAATAAATCCCAACTGCCCACTACACAGACTCATGTAACTGATCTTAACTGTTGGAGCCCATTAGGTTTCCTAGTGGCTGTACCCAGCAGGACTGTATAAGAGGTTGATTGGACCATGGGTCGGGGTACCAGGTGACTGTAACTAGCAAGGGGGAGGTCTTTTGCTCCACCCCTTGGCATTATTATAAATAGACCTTTGGAATAAAGTTCTGGGCCTGTGGATAAGGATCCAGGCTCACCCAAGTCTATCTTGTGTTTTCTGTTTCTCTCTTCTCTATTTCTAACTAAGTCTCTTATTCCTCATTCCTCAAGAGTTCCTGGGGTAAATAAGTGTGGGGGCTGGTCTCCACACTTAACACAGCAAGACATGGCAAGCCCCACTGTACACATGCCTTTAAAGTGTCTGCATTTGTCATATATGCCTCTACACTATTGGTTGATGTAGGTCAGATGGTCCAGACCAGAGTGGCACACTAATTATCAGGGACCTGGGTAGTGGCTGCTTCTGTTTGCCAACCTATGTGTCTAAGTTAGGGTTTCTATTGCTGTAAAGAGACACCATGACAACAGCAACTCTTATAAAAAAACAGTTAACTGTGGTGGCTGGCTTATAGTTCACAAGTTCAGTGCATTGTCATCATGGTGGGACATGGTGGTGTGAAGGCTGACGTGGTGCTGGAGAAGGAGCTGAGAGTTCTGAATCTTGCAGGCAACAGGAAGTGAACTGTCTCACTGGGCGTGGCTTGAGCATATATGAGACCTCTAAACCTGCCTCCACAGTGACACACTTCCTCCAAAAGACCACACCTACTTCAACAGTCCACATCCTCCCTTTGGGGGCTGTTGTCTTTCAAACCACCACACCATGTATCGAGTGGATCTACCCACATGGCACCAAGAGAGCATGTACTTAAAGCAGAGCTTTGGTTTGACCTACTTGAAGAACTTCACCGAAAATGAGCCTGAACTAAGACTCAAGGAATGAGAAGGTGAAAAGGGGGTTAAAATTTGGCCAATGAGAGGGACAGGGTAGGCAAATTGTCTCCTCCTTCTCACGGCAGTTCTTATCTCTCTCCAGAACTGCAAATCTCAGAAAATTACACCATCTTTCAAGCAACAGGTCAGGTAAAAAACCTAGGAGTTACCGTTTCTTTTCTCTACCCACACTGGCCATTTTCATATGTCTCACCTTCAAAAGCGTATTGTGATTCACTTCTTCACTTCTTATGTATAGCCTTTTAAATTCACCCTTATCACCACCTCCCATCATCATTTACCATCCTCCTCAAGACCACTGCTATGCTGAAGTAAGCTAAGTGCATGCACATCAGATCATGACAACTTTTTCAAGCTTCCACTGTCCTTGTGAAATTTGAAATCCTCGTTCTCTAAAGGCTGTGTCTCATTCGTGCCACCCACGTACCTTCCCTCGCCTACCTGCAGCGTTCTGCTGAATCGTCTTTCTGTTCCTGGCAACACCAAACTTACTTCAG